ATCCAACCCACGGGACCGCGCCGCACGTTCATGTTACGTGTTCAGCACTACATGCGTTTATCTTTACCCATGGATGCACAATAACAACGGACCCGTATCTGCCATCCCACGGAGCTGTAATAATGGATATATTGCATGTTTGCTGTAATTCATCATTTGTAAAATATCATACTACATGGGCTGTATGATTAAATCTTGTACCGTAAATGTTGTATTAAATAAAGTTAATATTACAGACGTTAGATTAACGTCCCTGTAGCTTCTTATTGTACTTAGAAGCTTATTGCACTGTGTGCAATAATTCTTTCATGCTAAATGAAGCTCTGTTGCTTGGATATCACTAGATCCTGTTAGAGCGTAATATAAGTACATAACGATTGATGTGTACATTAGCACAATTACTAGCTAGCCGCTAGATGCTAACTGCCGCCTTGTTAATATCAAATCCATCATAATAACAACTAGTGATGTCGGTCGCGAACGAGCCGATTCTTTTGAACGGCTCTTTGGTACGAACGAGGGGAACCGAGTCCTACTTGGTGAGAGCCGTTGTTTTTATCGTTCAATCGTTGACCAGTCCGCACTCACTGCCAAAATCTACTCGCCTGTTAAAAAGCTTGATTTTGTTCCCCAAACGTATGCTGTGAAGACCCGCCCCTACTCTGATTAGTAGGTTTCAGCAGGAGGAGTGAGGTGGGTCTTAACGGAATACGCGCGAGAGAGAAGTCATAACAAGTGGTACAGGACAGGTAGACGACGTGTTTTTCGGATGGAAAATAAGCCAAACGTGAAAACGCAGCAGCATTTGGATGCACTTCAACCAAAACCCAGGCAGTGATAAAGCGCACCATTTGTAAAGGCAAAATATCCTTTAAAGCAGGGTCAACAAATAATCTCCATTGCCACTTAAAAACACAGTATCTAATATTAAGAGTTGCATGAATTTTATTCAAGGCAAGGCAACTTTATCTACTTAACACATACGGAGGGGTAAATTCAAAGTAGTACATTCACGGACATGAATGACATGGATATGGCGCCACCTTGTGTCGTGTTTACAATGCAGATTATTGACATTAGGTCTGGCAATACAGTCAATCATTATCCTGGTGATTATTTCAAAGATAAACTTAGTAACCCCGCAAAAAAAACGGCTCTTTTGAACGGCTCTTTGAAAGGAACGGAGCCATAAGATCCGGCTCCCTTCAAAGATCCATAATTCCCATCACTAATAACAACCCCGAGACGGGGGGCAGGGGCGGGATCAACTCCTGAACAACAACAAAAAGCCGGCGTTTTATCCAGTTTGTACACAACGATGGAGCAACTTAACAAGCAGCAGTGGTCCACTGAAGAGACCAGCTACCTACTGGGAATTTGGTCTTCCAAAGAGGTACAGAGGAAGCTGGAGCATAATCGGCCATTGTTGTTGTCGGTGTCAGCTGTGAGGGGTTTCCGCGCGGTTTGGCTTTATATGAAGCAGGCACGCAAACGGTTACGTCATGACGTAAGAGATGACGCAATGACGCAGCACCAGTCGGACTCTGGGCAGTGTGAAAAGAGCCGGAGCTAAACCGAAGAACCGGTTCTGAACCTGAAAAGCTCTAGCACGGAGCTTGAACCGGAGTTGCGTTGGTGTGAATGAGATCCTAACTCAGACTCTCTTTACTTTAGGTTAAGAAGTTAAGTTCCTGAGTCACTGATTGGTTGGAACAAACAGAGGCGGACACACAAGCTTTTCATAGCCGTTCATTATCGACTGCATATAGGTGTGAGGGCCGAGAAAAATTTGCTCCAGCAATTAGCTTCAATACCAAAGTGGCGAAACAGTGTATTGCAGTCACTGTTTTTAAAAATTAAAAGCAGTGTTTCTAAGGAATTTCAGGGTGAACTTTCGGCTAACAGCCGCGCCACCGCTAACTCAGCTAGGGGAGGACTTCATTAGCTGTGGTGCTAATTAGCTGTGATGCTAGTGAAGCTAGCGGCTAAACATATATCATCAGCGAGGACAACGGTCGAAAAGAAAACAAAATAACTCTGTGAACAAAGCCCAGCTGCAAACCTGCCGACGAGAAATGCCAAGGAACTGGTGTGTGGAGCCGCTGTTCCCGGTGATAGTGAGGACTGTGGGTAAGTCATCTTGTTTCAGGTGTTTTTACCGTAGATTGAAGCCCTGTTCGCGGGGACGCGCAAAGGTGACGTCATCGCGTGTATTGAGCATTCGCCTAGTTTTCCAAGCTTTTTTCTCTCTTTTGAATGATATATTTCCCATCAGATTAAACAGCAAACGGCTGAATAAATAATGTGCATACAATTGCGAGGTGGCTCGTTTTAAGGACATAATCTTCGTATTGGAACAAACTTCCGTTTTTAAGTGTAGTCCCACTCTGTTATGTTCCTCCTTCCTACAGAACAGACAATGATAAGAATGAGGTATGAGATCCTAACTCAGACTCTCATGATAAGATGTCATTTCTTTGTCTCTATAGTCCTATTTCTTAAAACCTTCTCTGTTGTTTAAGTGTCTGATAGCCTACTTGATAACCACGAATAATAATGATATAACAGTAAAGATATAACATATATGATAATGTCAGACACTGTGTTATTTTCATTCAAGCCTAAAAGATAATTTGTTCAAATTAGCTTCACTCCCTTTAATTGGTCCTTTGAATGTATTGATCTTATATCTGTGCCTATATCACACTATTAATGTTCCTTATTTTAGACTAGGTTTTTTCCTGGTGTCAATAGGGAAGATCTGCACTGTTCTCTACATAACATGTTCAGCAGAGCAGGTATTTCTCCTGCCAGATATGGCACCCCCCCTACAACTTTGTCCAGGACAGTCACACCGTCACCAAAATCACAATGGTGTTGCCTGTTCCCCTCTAGTTTATGCTCACCAAAGCATTTTACTCTGGGCCCAGCAGGTAAAAAACTAAAGAGGGGCTTCCATATCCGGCAGAGCAGGTGCTGCCGGATTTGGAACCCCCCATATCTTTGTCCAGGATAGTCACAACTTCACCAAAATCACACTGGTGTTTGCTGTTCCCCTCTAGTTTGTGCTCACAGAAGCATTTTACTCTGGGCCCAGTAGGTAACAAATTATAGGGGGGCTTCCATATCCGGCAGCCAGCCAGAACACCTGGTCTGCCGGTTATGGAAGCCCCTCTTTAGTTTGTTACCTGCTGGGCCCAAAGTAAAATGGGTCCTAAAAAAATGAAAAGAAAGAAAATGCTGATATTTGGCAAAAAAGTGTGTCTTGCTGCAATGAGCCTGTTTTGCACTGCACATTTCTTCAAAACGGGGTTGCAGGCTCAGTGGCGGCGCCAGAAATTTCTTTTGGGGGTGCTATGGGGTAGCTTGACGTTTCATAGAGGGTGCTCAAACATTTAGGGTTTCCCATTAATGTACCGGCGCTACAGTGGAATTTTCTACTGCAACAATCCCCACGCAAATACAGTGTGACAGTTACAATGAAGGCTCGATAATCAGCTCACGGCATATAGGTGTAAGCAGGGGTAAAATACAATTTTTACAAGTGGGGAGTGGACCTAACATAGGGGGGTCCGGGGGCATGCCCCCAGGAATATTGTTTTTTAAATATTAAAGTTAAAAGCATCAATCTGGTGCAATTTGAGAGCAAAATGAAGAGATCTATGGATACATCTCTCAACACCCATTTGAAACAGAACTGGAAACAGATTTCCTTTTTTCTTTATGGATATTTTACAAATTACCCTTTTAAACTTTGTTCTTTTTTTACTGTCATATAGTCTTTCATACCTGTTTTTCATTTATTCTCTTATTTTTGTATAACTATAATGATCATATAAACGTGTGCCTCGGAAATAATGGTTTACATTAATCGTGACCAAAACGTTTGAGACCCGGCCACAAGAAGCTAACAACAACGATCTCCGGTACCGGTGCGCTCTCTCTCTCGTTCCACACACACACAGAGTCGAGCTTGAATCAAACACAGAGAGACAGACGTACTTGTACTGTATCATATTATATTCAAATCAATAATTAAAAAAACAAAAACATTTCCCCCCCCCCCTGTCATGGCTCTGCTCCCCCCACTTTGAGAAACACTGCTGACTCATTTAAAGGGAGAGAGTGAAACCTTCAACTGTTAACATTATGTGTTAGTTCTGTAATGTGGGATTGGACTTTAAAGGTCATTTATATTTTTTAATGTTATTGAAGAAGAAGAAGAAGAAGAAGAAGAAGAAGATTCAACTTATTGTCGTTACGTAGTGCAGGTATGTAACGAAACGGTTTCTCTGCATTTGACCCATCCTAGTGTTAGGAGCAGTGGGCTGCCATTATGTAAGGCGCCCGGGGAGCAGTGCCTTGCTCAGGGACACCTCGGTAGCACTTGGTCTTTCCTGGACTTGAACTGGTGACCTTCCAGTTGCCAAGCCAAGCCAAGTCCCTATGGCCTAATGCTGGTTAAATAAAACAGCTAATTTAAAGACAAAATATACACCACAAAGGTGACCAGTTTAGGAGTCCTTACTCTTTCATAAAGTAAACAAACACCCATTCATTACGCCTCAGAAGCATATGGTGCAGGCAATACTATTATTGAATTGTCTAGCAAATGAGAAAGAATTAAATGAATCAAAATAACTTTTCAAAAGGGCATAACTCCTTAAATGTCTCAATCTGGAACCATATACAGAATATGTTTTCATGATACATCACTTACTCACATAGTTAACAATTCATTTCCTGAGAATCAACCAAGAGATTGACAGAGACATCGTTTTACTTGTACTTGTAAACACTGTTTGGTACTGTTATTTATTAGAAACATCACATCTCTTTTTTTTCTCAGACAAGCTTGTATATAACCGACAATATCATAATAACTCACCCGTGCAGTTGCTAAAGCCACTCTTGGAGTAGCCTAAGTTGCAGGTGCACTTGTAACTCCCCATCAGGTTAGTACACTGAGCAGCGGGACCACAGATATTGGTAAAACCGATGCACTCGTTTACCTCTGACAGAAGAAGTGAAAAGATATGTTAAACAGTTAAAAACAAAGAGACACAGATCAAACATAATGTCATGGACAGACTTACCTTGACATTGTCCATCTTGTGCGAAGTTCACCAACCCTTTACTGTGTGCGTAGCCTTGATGACAATGACACAAGAAGCTACCATTCGTGTTGACGCAATCTGCGTTTCCCAGACAAATGCCTGGAGTTTCTTCGCACTCATTCCAATCTGGATTTGGTTACAAACACATAAAGCAATGAGATTACAATTTAAAGCAATGAATCTCACAGGTCAATACAAAATATAACATGCTTGATTTGTAGATGGAAAACATTTCATTTTGATTTGAAGCAGCCTCTTTTTCTGTAGCTCCTCTTTACATTGTATTTCTTTTTGTTAGCTGATTAAAACTGCAAGGATCCAAGAATCTTTTAACATCTATTACTGACAATGTTTTCTTTGCAATCCACTCTGAATGAGAGCACTGAGCAGTGCCTAAAATGGAAAAACAAGATGAATGTCATACAAAAAAACAACTTTTCCTGTTCAACTCCAGTAAGAGGTATTGCATTGGAACACCATTTATCTCTGAGAGCTGTTGTATTAACTACAACAATAATGGCAATAGTAGACAAAGGCAAGACAATGACAAGGGATGCTTAACATTTGAGGTAATGGCAGATTATTACCAACACATTGCCCTTTTGCCGTGTTGAAACCAAGGGAACATTCAGTCAAACATTCCTTCACCATAACCAATACACCTGCAGGGAAAGAGAGAAAGGTCATTTAGTTCCATTGACAAGTAAGACGTGTATAAAGCAGAGCAACCATACTTGTGCACTAATGCCCACTTCAGGTGTTCTTATTAATTATTATTATAAAAGTTGGCTGCAGAAGCCACTGGTAATGATGCTATATTTGAGCAACGATTGTAGCCCTGTGCAGTAGTGGTGTTCCATTTTAAATGTTGCCACTGCCTTTTAGAGCCCTTTGCTGCTGATCAAATTGCAACATATTACATAACTTCCCCAAACTAAAAGTTGTGAATCACTTGCAGTTTTGTTGCTGAGCTATTACCGGATTTCCAGTGATGATGCTTTTTACAGCTCACTCAGCCTTCATTACAACTCTTGGTCTTGTTGATACATGGGTCTCCATTGGAGCCCATTGTAGTGGCTGAGTATGTTTATTAATTCACGGGACAACAACTGTGGAGAGTGTTAATGTTTGTGTTTTTATGTATTCGACCTTTTGAACTACATATGTGCGCAACTTATTTGAGTGTGATTGTTTTATTCCTCCTGTTTATCTACACCCATGGTTCTACCCCAGCTTGTCAGATTAAACGCACACCACAGTAGACACGTGTCAATCACATTTCCTGACTCATGATTCAGTGGTAAGGCAGAAAACAGCACCCCATTCCCTCACATTGTGTAAGCAAAAATGGACTCTCCCTTATGTTCCCTCCCCCGATCACAATGAGGCCTCTGTTGTTGGTGGATTTCTCACAGTAATGTCTCTTTAGGAGAAGCAGGCAGCGTTTGACAGTGAGTCTGTGACTGAGCCTTACTTTATGACTTAATAACTGCGGACATATACAAAGAGTGACTCTGTGCTCAGCTAGCAGCTGACATTTATTCACCAGTAGGCACAGTGGTGAATTTGAATAGACGTCTGTAACATAAACTATCCTCTCAGTGGGTCTTTCTTCATTCTTTATAAGCTGTATGTAGCTAGATTTAGTTTATTATGTTGCTCTTCCTGTTTGGTTTGGTTTGGTTTTTATTAGGATCCCCATTAGCACTAGCATGAGCATTGGCTATTCTTCCTGGGGTCCTCACCCACACAAAACATACATAATACAAACCAGAACAGAACAACTCATCATTTCATGAAAAGTGCATGGTAAGGAAGTGAAAGCAAAAACAAAACAGAAAAAAATAGTCATCACATTTTAGCCATCATCAAGCCAAAACCTAAACAAAATTTTACCAACAATATAATTTACATGATAATACTAATTACTAATTACTAATTGACCCACAAGTACAGTTCAAATTTAATTTGTAGTTCTCAGATATTGTTTTAGCAAATGTTTGAAATGTATGTTTGAGTTGTCTTGAATGATATGGACCGGTAACGAATTCCAGCTGACCATTGCTCTGTATAGTACTGTTTTCTGTCTGATATTTGATCTTGATTTGGGTAAAATGCATCTATTGCATGTCTGGTTTGATAGTTATGTGTAGAGTACTGTGCTATGAACTTTTGTGACAATATATGTGGTAAGTGTGTCACTGTAATATTCTTTACAAAATTTAACAGAGAATAAATGGACCTCTGTCTAACACTCATCCATTTCAGTGTCTCCAGCATTTCAGTCACTCTGGTTCTGTAGGAGCACTGCAGAACACATCGTGCTGCCTTATTCTGTGCTACTTGTAGTTTATTTAAATCGTTTTCTGAAGCACTAGACCAAACAACAAAACAGTAATCAAGCTGTGATAGCACCAAAGCATCCAAGACTTGTCTCCTGACATCTATTGGCAAATGTTTTACAATTCTTTTCGGCTGGCCTCTGCACCGCATTACTTTGATTATGTCAAACCATGCATTACGTCCCTTTACTGATTTAGAATTATTAACCCCGAGTTAGTAGCAGACTTTTGTACACTTGGATTAACGGTCAATGTAAATTGGTATAACTGAATGTTGTCCCTATTTTTCCTTGGATTCAACCCAATCCCCTATTGAGACCTTAGTTGTGACAGAAAGTTGGGCCACGCCAGCGTGATTGGATTTGTTACTATTACCAACAACAATTTTACCCTTACCGACCAC